AATTATAGCAGAATCCCCTATACAACAATAATAGATCAAACCAGGTCAAACATACACCTTTAATATTTATTTCCTCCATCACTGATGCATGCTAGATCAGAGTGTACCCTGTGGAGGCACTGCAGCAACTCACCAAAGCTCTTTCGACAGCACAATCTATAGCTATCATGATAGGCTTCAGAAACCCACACCTCTTGAACACACCTCTAGAAAATGTAAGAATAGTTGAGTACCAATAACATACTTTAGAAACTTGAAAGAGGAACCATAAGTTGGAATGAAATGGGAGTAAAAAGCTGAAGACGTAAAGGATGAACTCATAAAAAGCAATAGTTGATGAATACTGGGCCAAACATTGGTGGTTGAGTCACTGACAATGGAATAGAAATTAGGTATCCTGGAGGTGGCCAGGGCATGGATCAACACAAAGTTCGGTGAGGACCCATATACAGGATTGGTCAGGCAGCCAAAAAATAGAGGGGAACTTGAAACTGCAAAGAGCAGAACAAGTGAAAAGTGTGGCTTTTTTTTTTAAGCAATCTATTTGTAGGGTGTGCGCATCACTGGATAGGTCAGCGTTTAGTGTCTATCCCCAATGACGACGCAGTGACCCATCCCCTTCAACTGCTACAGTTCTTGCGGTGTGGGGATACTATCAGTGCTGCTGTTAGCAAGAGAATTTCAGGATTTTGACCCAATGACAGTGAAGGAATATATGTAGTTCCAAGTCAGGATGGTGGAAGATTTGGAAGAAAGCTTGCAGGTGGGATGTATCCAGGAATCTCTACTATCTTGAAGGGTAAAGGCAAGAGGTCATAGGTTTGAAGTTGCTGTCAAAGAAACCTCACTAAGTCATTTCAATGCATTTTGTAAGTGGCCACTCTGTATAGTTGCTTAAGACAGTGAATGTTGAAGGTGGCATATGCGGTGCTGATCAAGTAAGCTGTTTTGTCCTGGATGGTGTAAGCTTCTTGAGTTTTGCTGGAACTACACTCATCTGGATGAGTGGGGGGCATTCCATTACACTCCTAATTTGTGTCTTGCAGATAGTGGACAGGCTTTGTGAAGTCAGGAGGGCAAATTTCATGCCACAGAAGTCCTAGCCTGTGACCTATGCTTGTATCTACAGCATTTAGACGGTTGTCCAAATCAGGTTCTGTTCAATGGTGGCCCATGGTGTTAATAGCAGGATATTCAGCGATAATGCCAATGAATGTTGAGAGGTGATGGTTTTTTCCTATTATTGGAAATGGTCATTGGCTACCTATCAATTGAGTGTGAAGTGTCAAAAATGGTGCTGAACATTGTGCAATTATCAATGAACATCCTAGTTCTCACTTCATGATGGAGGAATGCTCATTGATGAAGCAGTTGAAGATGGTGTGATTAGGACACTACCATCAGGAACTCCTGCAATCACTTCCATGAGATGACTGACCTCCAACAATCACAACCATCTTCCATTGTGCTTGGAATGACTCCAACCAGCAGAGTTGAATGACTCAGAATGATTCCAACCAGCAATTCCCATTGACTCCAGTTTTGCTAGGACTCTTTGATACCACACTATCAGGGTAATCACACTTGCCTCACCTCTGGAGTTCAACTCCTTAGTCCATGTTTAAACAAAATGTTGTATCGAGGTCAATGAACTGAATGATCTTGGTGGATCACAAACTGAGCATCAATGGGTAGGTTACTCTTTTGCAAGTGCTGCTTGATAGCAATGTTGATGATCCATTTCATCACTTTACTGACAAGAAAGAGTAGACCGACATGTTGGTGATCGGGCAAATCAACCTGGCTGGACTTTTGAGAATAGTACATTCCTGGGCAAATCTGCACATCATTAGGTAAATGCCTGTGATGTAACTGCTTTGGCACAGATTGGCTAAGAACACAGCCAGTTATGGAGTACAAGTCTTAAGTAATAATGCTGGAATGTTGTCAGGAATGTTTGCAGTATCTGATGATTTCAGCTATTTTTTCAGATCACATGGAGGAAACCACACTCATTGAAAGTTGGCAACTGTGATGCTGGGGATCACAGGAGGAGGGTGAAATGCATCATCCACTCAACATGTCTGGCTGAAGATGGATGCAATTACCTCAGCATTTTCTTCTGTACTGCTGATATATTGCACTCCCTCATCATAGAAAATGAGGATATTTGTGGAGCAGCCAGCTCTAATAAGTTGGTTAATTGTCCATCATCAATCACGATTGGATGCATCAGGACTGCAGAGCTTAGATTTGATCCATTGGTTGTGAGATCGCTTAGCCCTGTCTATTGCATGCTGCTTTTGTTCTTCAAGTTTATTTGAAAAAGTTGGTCACTAACACCTGGAGGAGGACTGTGGCTCCGAAAGCTTGTGTGTTTTCAAATAAACCTGTTGGACTATAACCTGGTGTCATATGATTTCTGACTTTGTCCACCCCAGTCCAACACTGGCACCTCCACATCATGGCTTTTGTTCTCGTATAGAATCCCTACAGTGTGGAAACAGGCCCTTCAGCCCAGCAAGTCCACACCAACACTCAGAAACCCACCCAGACCCATCCCCCTAATCTACACATCCCTGAACACTACGGGCAATTTAACCTGGCCAATCCACCTAACCTGCATTTCTTTGGACTGTGGGAAGAGACCGGAGCACCCAGAGGAAACACAGACAGGCATGGGGAGAGTGTGCAAACTCCACACAGACAGTCGCTCGAGGGTGGAATCGAACCCGGCTCCCTGACATTGTGAAGCAGCGGTGACCCTTGGCATGCAAATGTGATTTATCTTCACTAGGTTGACACCTCATTTATCGGTATGTTTGATCTGTCCTGATATGCCCTCCTGCACTCTTCAATGAACCAGCGTTGATCACCTGGTTTGACATTAGAGTGAGGGAAAAGCCAGGGGCCTGCAAATTTGCAGGATGAGGTTAAATACAATTCTGCTGCTGACTGGATGTCCAGCTGAGTTGCTAGATCTTTTCAAAGTCTGTCCCATTTGGCAGTGCCAAACAACACTATGGAGGGTAATCTCAATGTGAAAACAGGACTTCATTTCAATAAGGAGGTGGTCACTCCTATTGAAACTGCTCCAGATGGATACATCTGTGACAGAGATTGGTGATCATGCAGTCAAATAGATTTTTGTCTCTTGATGGTTC